TTTTTTTTTTTAATATATCTTTATTGATTTCAGAGAGAGGAAAGGAGAGGGAGAGAGAGAGATAGAAACATCAATGATGCGAGAGTCATTGATCAGCTGCAGCCTGCAACCCAGGCATGCGCCCTGACCGGGAATCGAACCCCGATCGCCTGGATCCTAGGTCGATGCTTAACCACTGAGCCACGCCCGGCCGGGCAAGACCTTGTCTTATTGTGTTGTAACTTTATGGCTTATATCTCGTCCTATCCCTATAAACCTAAGCTCTGAGGAGCTATGACCTCATAATATTTATCCATTGCATTCCCTAAACCTGAGGAGGTAACTGGTTTCTTTAATGCAAATAAGCTAACAGAAATATGTTCCTTGGAAAGTGTGTGAACAGAGGAGGGGAGGCCACTGCAGGCTGGGGAGATCTGGGCCGGCTCCAGGAGGAGGGAGTTTGAGAGAAGCTTTCAATGATGGTTGTGATTTAAATGGGAAGAAACTGGAGGAGATGCAAGGTCTGTTTGTTCTAGGAGAGACAAGGTAGCAGACTTGGAGTTAGGAGAGTAGAGACAGGTGAGGTTTGCAGAAGATTTTACATACAAGGGTGAGACGTGAACTGTGCTATAACATTAGGGGGCTGTTAATGGGTTTGCCTTAGCAGGAAGAGGTGACAGATCACAACATTTTGAGGAAGGCCAGTGTGGCAGCAGAGAGAGATCAAACTGGGGCTTAAAGAACCTATTGTCGTAGTCAAAACCAAAGGTAAAGGACAGCTTCCAGGATTCTGCATTCATCTGTCTAGTGGTTCTCAGTCCTGACTGTGGTCAGAGTCTTCTGTGGATCTTTAAAGAAACCTCACAAGTGTCTTGTGCTTACCCGATTGGCTGGGTTGTGACCTGCCCAGAAGCACCCTGATGCTCAGCATATGTNCTTCTGTGGATCTTTAAAGAAACCTCACAAGTGTCTTGTGCTTACCCGATTGGCTGGGTTGTGACCTGCCCAGAAGCGCCCTGATGTTCAGCATATGCAGAGTGATCTGGGGTCCACCTGGGCAGCACTGGCTCACCTGTAGGCTGTGGCACGTGGATGTCTCTATCTTGGAGGATCTTTCCCTTAGGGAAGCCATGGCCAACCAAGGTTGTCCCAGGCAGTGCTGGTTGAAGTCTCTCTTGTGGTTATTGGTGGATATTTTGAAATTTAGTTCCAATTAGTCAGTCACTGGTGAGTGCCTGCTGGCTAGAGAGAGTGGTGCCAGCACGGCTGGGCTGTGTGGGTTGTGCAGCTGCTTCCGAGTAACTAAAGAACCAGGAGGGTGATGCCATCCTTGGCCCAGGAACTTCACTCTTCCTGTCTCATTCAGAGCCCATTCAGTCCCGGTGCGCAGTCCTCCGCTACACAAAGCTGACCGATGCCCAGATCCTGGCAAGGTTAATGAGTGTGATCGAGAAGGAGAAGGTGCGGTACACTGACGATGGTCTGGAAGCCATTATCTTCACCGCCCAGGGAGACATGAGGCAGGTGTGTGCTGTCGCTGCCCCTGAGGCCCCGACTTCCTGGACTTGCCGGCCCTCCTGGGCCTACCGTGCCCCTTATTTTAGGGGGAAGAGGGAGGTGAAGGCTGCACAGAGCCGAACCAGAGTGGGGAACGTTGACCCAACACACCGTTGGGCCTTGGGCTGGTTGAGAGCAGACTTTCAAGGAGGGAGTTCAGCTAAGAGAGATGGGGAAGGGCCTAGATTGAAAATCACCCTGGATGTTTTTGTTTCTCAACAGGCATTGAACAACCTGCAGTCTACTTTCTCGGGATTTGGCTACATTAACAGTGAGAATGTGTTCAAGGTACAAAAGCTGGCTTGGGCATCACAGTCTACAAAAACAATGTTTATCTGCGGGGGCCAGTGGGGTGGAGGTGGGACGGTGCTGGAAGGAAGGGGTTGGACACGGTGTCGCTAGTGTGCTGGAGCTCGCCCTCAGCGGGTAGGGAGATTGCTCTGCTCCTTTGTGTCCACTTCACTCCCCACACTGGAGAGCTGGGAGGGACTTTGGAATGCCACCAGTGTATGATAAATGCAGGTGCTGCCGCTGCTGCCCCAGGCTGGTGCTGGGTGCTCTCCCATGTGCTCTGATCCTCAGCACCCCTGCACACACGTGTTCTCATCAGCATTTGTGGCCGAGGAAACAGACCCAGGCAGACTGCCTGAGAACAGCTGGATGATTGCTTGAGGCCAGGAGGGAGCACAGTGCTTTCCCCTTTACAGGTTCTGGCTCCCATCTGAGACTTTCCCTCAGCACTTTCTGCACCTGGAGGGGGTATCAAAGCTCTTCAAAGCCAAGCCAAAAGATTCTCACTCTCCCACATCGGCAAAGGATTTTCTTTTGGGGAATACTTTTGAAAACTGATTGGCACATCCAACACCTCAGTGTCTGATTTCCCCCTAATTTGGGGGTAAAAATTGGGAGGGCTGTCCATGTGTTTCATCTATAGCTTTGTCTTACCAAGGTTTTGGGTAAAGAAAGCTGTCCTAAAAACCTCTGCTTAGATCTTGGCAGTGTTGTATTTTCAAGGACACTGAGGGACACTTGTTTAGTCACCTGTAGTGATTGTTAAGGTCTCATTTCCTCGTGGAGCACAGCATTGAGGGCTCTGCAAACCAGGACTTCTGAGGGAATTAATTGAACTGGGAAGAGAAGGCCATTGGCAGGTATAGGCACTGCCTTGAGATATCAGAAGGCTGTCATTTAGATTTAAATGTTGATACTGCACGAGAGGGTGGAATCTAAGGCCAGTGGAGGGAGTAGCAGGAGCCAGCCTTTGGGCTTAGGGAGAACTGCACTGGCACTCAACAGGGTGCTCCTCAGGTCACACTGAGGCTGGGGACCCTGTCCTGGGAAAGCCAATTGCATTTCTGGTGGGAGAGTGGCCCAGAAGACCTCCCAAGTCTTAGTGGGTTCTAAGTGGTTCTGGGCAAGTGATCATCCAAGTTCTCTGAGATGTTACTTTAAAGCTGCTCCCGAGCTAGATTCTTCAGTGGCCCTTGTTCATCTTCTCTTGGAGAAATTGGTTACATGGTGTTAAGCCTTCCTCACTATAGTAGGTTGACATCATATTCTTCCCCCCCCCCCATATATCTTTATTGATTTCTGAGAGAGGAAGGGAGGGGGAGAGAGAGAGAGAAACATCAATGATGAGAGTCACTGATCGGCTGCCTCCTGCACACTCCCTACTGGGGATGGAGCCTGCAACCTGGGCATGTGCCCTGATTGGGAATCAAACTGCGATCTCCTGGATCATAGGTCGATGCTCAACTGCTGAGCCATGCCTACGGGGCGACATTATATTCTTTTTATTTGGTGACTTGGTTGGTGGTGAGGAGCTTTATCCACCTGATTCTGCTTGCTGGAAAATTTGATGAAAAAAACAAGTTGAGAATTTGGTTACATAGATCACCCAGAAGTTGGTATGTCAGACAGGTCCTCGTCAGATGGTTCCGTTGGTCGCTGACTCGCCTTCTTTTCTGTTTGGTCAGGTCTGCGACGAGCCACACCCTCTGCTTGTGAAGGAGATGATCCAGCACTGTGTGAATGCCAATATCGATGAAGCCTACAAGGTCTGCCTCCTTCCCCCTCTCCTGATTCTAGAGGGACCTTTCTCCTTGAGCAGGGCAGAGGGAGCTCCCTGTGCTAGGGACTTACATGCATCGCTCCCCTTAATTCTTAAAGTGATACTACGAGTTGGTACAACCTACAGATGAGAAAACCATGACAGAGGTTAAAATCCCTTCTCTCTGTCACACTGCTTAAAAGTAGTAGGCCTGGAATTCAAAATCATGTCTTTGTACTGTAATTATATTCTCTGCAACAGGAATTTGTCCACATAACACATGAGGCAAGACCAGCCCAATTCCTTACGTTGCAGTGAAGCTATCTTTCTCTGTTAAGGGGAGATTTTCCATCCATCCTCCCGAGTAGGCATCCTGGGAGTAGGCATCCTGGGACCCAGCAGTCTCCAGTCACCTAAGAGAGAACCCAGGAGGTGTCTGGCCTACTATAGATTCTGGTCCTGTGAGCAGGTTCCAATGGGCACCATTGGGGTTCAGGTGACCCTCAAGTCATGTGGATGGCAATGGTGTGGTCTGAGGCCATTGGTCTGATCACAGCCAGTTTCCCTGCTCCCACTAAATTAGGCTAGAAGTTGACTGAGTTTAGCACAGGGCTGGACCTAATGTGAAACTGGAGTGCAAGGCAGGGAGACTGAGGCAGAGACCCAGGTACCTGGACTAGGTCACTAAGTGACCCTGAAGGAAGCCTTTAGATGTAGGCACACATAGGTTCCCCACCCCCGAATTTACCCCGAAATGCTGNGTAGGCACACATAGGTTCCCCACCCCCGAATTTACCCCAAAATGCTTAAGCAAAGACAGAAACAACTGACTCCAGACCCTGTAGCCCAGGTGGGGTGGAGCCGGGGTTGAGGTGGCGGAAGGCCAAGACTGCTGTAGTCTCTGCCCTGGGCAGGATGTGTTCAGGGCTGTTCCTGCAGGGGGTTAGGACTATGGCTAGGGAAAGCAGGGCAGATAGAGGGTTCTGCTGCTTCTGCTCAGGGGTATACTGGGATGATTAATAAGTGTTTAAGGGCCTTGGGGGCAGTAGTAGACCTTGCAATACATTTAAAATCCTTTGCAATATTATCTTCCTGCCTGCTGGAAAAATCAGTTAAATTATTCCCTCATGATATATAGGGCATGGCCCACCAGCTCTGTGATGTTCAGCTGATTCTCATCACTTGGGTTTTCTAGGATGATCTGTCAGCTCCCAGCAGTGTGACAGGCCCAAGATTAGTGTGGCTTTAACCTCATTTCCACTGAGTATCCTTGTCCTTCACACAGTTCAGCAGCCTCAGCGTGTCCTCTTTTGTCTAGATTCTTGCTCACCTGTGGCATCTTGGCTATTCGCCAGAAGACATCATTGGCAACATTTTTCGAGTGTGTAAAACCTTCCAGATGGCAGAATATTTGAAACTGGAGTTTATTAAGGTCAGTGAGAATATAGCCATGCCTCTCTCCTCAAGTATGTTTGCCATGCTGTGGTTTTCGTTGTTTTACTTACAGGCCTGTCACCGGGAAGATGCTCAGTAAGTGTCCTCGACTCCAATGAAGCCCGGTGGCTGCTTATCCTGGGGGCTGGGAGTTTGTTTGAGCCCATTCTGCCAGTCAGTGACCTGTTGTTCTGTAGATGACTCCCTTCATTAGAGATGTGTTTATTTATCTTTAAGGTCAGATTAGTTGAAGTGTAATTTACATAGAGTAAAATTCAGTCTCTTAGATGCCTTCTGCTGACAAAATCATGCAATTGTATAAACATGACCCTCTGATCCCCCCAACTTTACATGCTCCTTCGTAGTCAGTTCTTCCCTCTAGCACCTGGAAACCACTGATATGCTTTCTGTTTCGGGGCAGAATGTTTCAGAACATTATACAAATGGAATCAAGCAGAAACATAGTCCTTTGAGTCCAGCTTTTTCACTTAGCCGAATGCATTTTGGGTTTGTGTGTGTGTTTGCTGTGAGGGTCTGTGGATCACTATTGCTGACTAGTATTCCATCGTATGGATGTGAGGTTGNTTATACAAATGGAATCAAGCAGAAACATAGTCCTTTGAGTCCAGCTTTTTTACTTAGCCGAATGCATTTGGGTTTGTGTGTGTGTTTGCTGTGAGGGTCTGCGGATCACTATTGCTGACTAGTATTCCATCGTATGGATGTGAGGTTACTTGGTAGAATGGTAAGTGTAAGTTTAACTTGATAAGAAACTGCCCAACTTTCCCAGAGCGGCTGAAGCATTTTGCATCCTACTAGCAGTATGTGAGCATTTCAGCTGATCCACATCCTAGCCAGCACTTGGAATGCTCAGTTGGTTTTTTAAAGTCATTCTAATAGGTGTGTAGCTCATGGCTTTAATTTGCATTTACCAGTAACTGATTATGTCAAGCATGTTTTCATGTGCTTATTTGCCATTCAAAATCTTTGATGAAGCATTTGTTCAAATCTCCCATTTTTTAAAAAAATATGTTTTTATTGATCTTGGAGAGAGGAAGGGAGAGGGAGAGAGAAATAGAAACATCAGTGATGAGAGGATCATTGATCAGCTGTCTTCTGCTGGGGATCAAGCCCACAACTTGAGCATGTGCCCTGACCGGGAATCAAACTGCAATCTCCTGGATGTAGGTCGATGCTCAACCACTGAGCCACATTAACTGGGCAAATCTCCCGTTTTTAATTGGGTTGTTTTCTTATTACTAAGTTTTGAAAGTTCTTTGTATATATGGATGCAAGTCCTTCATCAGATGTGTTTTATAAGTAGTTTAATATTGCCTCCTTTTTTTTTTGTATATTCTTAACAGTATCTTACAAAAAATACCAACATCACAGTTAATTTTAGTTCAGCATAATCCATGACAACTTAGAGTTCATTTTCTAATTGGAGTTGGAGTTCATTGAATTAATTTTGAGTAAACCACTAACTAGTACAAATTTAAAAAAATAAATCCCTCCCTCACTTACTAACCAGATTTAAATTTGATTTGGTTTTCAGGAAATTGGATACACTCATATGAAAATAGCAGAAGGTGTGAACTCCCTTCTGCAGATGGCAGGGCTCCTGGCCAGGCTGTGTCAGAAGACAATGGCCCCGGTGGCCAGTTAGAGCGGAGAACTCATTGATTATATTACAAGAGTCCCTGAGAGACAGGAGTCACAGCCTCTGCTTTGGAAGAAAATGCTGCCCAGACTGGCACTGGGACTCACCTTTCATCAACATGTCGTGGCCTTCCTGGTGCTTCCACACACATCTCCAAGCATTTGCATTCAGCCCCAGGCTCAGGGACATGGGGACAGGGGGCAAGGCCCCAGAGAATGTCCAGGGCATGGCACCCAATTGGGCATGTGTTGGAATTTTAGCTAATAAAACTGTATGTACACTTTTGTCTGCAGTAATGTGACAACACAGGGCTGCAAAGAAAGCCAGCTTCCTGTCTCTCTGTGCCCCTTGCATCCTATAAGTAGAAAAGGTGATTTAGATAGTAGACTGGACAAGCTAATCTCAGTTTTTCTANCCCTTGCATCCTATAAGTAGAAAAGGTGATTTAGATAGTAGACTGGACAAACTAATCTCAGTTTTTCTAGAAGCCTAGAGGACAGTTCCATGGGGTGAGGGCAGGGTTTGCTATAAGTTACTGACTAGAAAAAGAACAGCCCAGGTCCATGACTTAGAAGAAAGGACTTAGGGGAATCACCGAGGAAAATGGTGCAATATAAGCACAGAACTCTCCCGCCATGTTGCATCTTCTGTGCAGTACTTGTTGCTTTAGAATTTCCCAGTAAGTTTTATATTAACTTGTAGAATTGCTGTTTTTGGTAAGGTACTATTTTTTCCATTTTTTAAATTATGAAAAATATCAGTTGTACATAAAACAGAGAAAGATACGTATTCATCATCTGTCTTAACAGTTATACAAACACGNAGAAAGATACTCACATATTCATCATCTGTCTTAACAGTTATACAGACACATGACCAATCTTGTTTCCTCTGTGTTCCTACCGCCCCACCCCATTTCTGGGATTGTTCTGAAGCAAATCCCAGACATCATAGAATGGTGGTGGCGGTTTTGTTCGTTTGATTGTTTGTTGATTTTAGAGAGGAAGGGAGAGAAAAAAAAAAATTGATGTGAGGGAAACATCGATTGGTTGCCCCCCATACATGACCTGACCAGGGATCAAACTCATCACTTGAGTATGTGCCCTGATTGGGAATTGAACCCACCACCCTTCGGTGCATAGGGCTATGCTCCAACCAACTGAGCCACACGGGCTAGGGCTAGAATGGTGTTTTTAAGGGAGTGGGGGTGGGAGTCACTCATTCTGTGATTAGTGATCTCGTGAAAAGCTTTGATTAAAAACACTTGTGTGACATGCTGGCTCTCCCTGCCTGTGGGTTCCCAGACAAAGGGCTGCAGCTGTGTGGCCATGTGTGCCCATGCTGCACATAGTGCCCGAACAGCTGGGTGCGCCCACCTGCTTTTCTCCCTGCCCAAGCTTGGTTCACAGGCTTCTAACGCTCTAGCCTGAACATGTGGAGGAAGCAGGGAGGGGAAGGGCCTGCTGGCACGTCTACTAACTGCTGTTCCTCAGGCTGGTCACTTCCCCAGAACACATTGTTGGATAGGGACATAGAAAAGGCTCTGGGATTACCGGCTTTTGGGGTTTGGTTTTCAATTAAGAGGAAAAAATNCCTCAGGCTGGTCACTTCCCCAGAACACATTGTTGGATAGGAACATAGAAAAGGCTCTGAGATTACCGGCTTTTGGGGTTTGGTTTTCAATTAAGAGGAAAAAATAAGGTCCTCAAAAACAGCAAGGTGAAATTTTATAAAATACACATACTTTCTCAGTCTTATTTTTTGTCTGGAGCCTCGGGATCCCTGTGAGGTGAAGGAATGGTTGTGCCCAGTTTGCAGGTGAGGGGCCTGAGAGACAGGGTTTCCACACCTATAACCAAGGAGGAACTCCTACCTGAAGTCTCTCCACAGCACCCCCAAACCCCTGCTCAGGCCTAAGCTGCCCTCTGAGCTTGTGAGGACAAGTGGCCACAGCTGTGTTCTAAGTGGTTTTTTATTTCTAATTTCCTAACTTGTGGCATTAATTTCTCATGGAAAGAATTGGTGTGGCATCCTGGAAAGAGCTGGACTTGGGGCCCAAGGTTCTATCCCCAGCCCTCCCTCTCTCCAGGCCTCAGGGTCCGTTTCTATGAAACAAGAGGCCGATTCATTCCCCTGGTTTTGCATGAAGCAGAGAAAGCAGACACTGGAGAATTACGGCTCAAACTGAAAAGGTTTATTGAGACGTTTCCACTGGAGGAGGCATTTTTCCCTGACTGGCTTTTCTGACTCAGGTCCCATTGGGCCTCTGCCCTTCCCATGAGACAGTCATGCTGCCCAATCAGCGAGCCGAGGCTGGCCTGGAGCAGAGGAGGGGTTCCGGTCAATGGGGCACCACTGCACCCTGCCTGCCCCTTCGGCAGAACTGAAACTGTCCACAGGATGTGCCCACTGACAGAGCATATGGGTGCCTGTAGCCTCATCTCTTCTTCTGTGAACTGAGGCCCAAGGAAAGGAATGCCAGGGCTCCCCAAGTGTCTGCTGAAATTAGAACATGTAATGCTTATAGGAGACAAGATAGACAAAATCTACCCTGGAAAGTAGAATATTAAATATGGCTCCACCTATATAAATTAATTATACAAACTTATCAATCACAAAAAAATCCCAGCAACCGACTGGTAAGCAATTTGGGATCCAAATCCAAAGCAGAAAGGATACGAACACCAGTACTGTAGATGTTTTAGATGCGGGAATGTGGATGTGACATGCCCTCAGCGCTGGGCATTCAATTACGGCGGCGGGAGCTGCACTGCCCTCGGCACCGGGCTCCTGCCCAGCCCCAGGAAAGCAGCTTCCACGTGTAACTGCCCTTCCTCAGGCTGGTCCCACGTGGCCAGAGCGATGGTCCGTGGGACATGTTGGTGCACCTCCCATGAGTAACTGTGGTGGGGTCCAGATGTAGAGCAGCTCTGGAGAAGTGATCTTTGGGAGACGGTAAACATTCCTATGAGCTCTGGCTTCCTTGGCTCCTTCAGCGAAGATGAAAATGGTTGGCTAGAAGGAAAGTGGTTGGCTAAAAGGCCTGCTTGGTGAGCACTTTGTTCCCTTGGCACGGGAGTGACTGGTTCCGTAGTGGGAGGGACGCACAGTGATGGTCAGCATTCAGCTGCCCTCCCAGGCTGGGGAGGGAGCCACCCATGAAGCTGAGTTTATCCTAAGAGCTCCTCTTTTCCTTTAAAATCCTGACTGTGCTCTTTGGTCCTGGCCAAGGCCTGGGTTCTTCTGACCTGTCTTCAGTGTCTATCTCCAGCCTGACTTCCCAACTCCAGGCGCTGACGCCCATTTCATATTTCCCCCGCATGGGCCTCTCCAGTTAACAGGCCTACAAAACCCGCTCTGCCTGTAGCCTCCCAGATCTTAGTGGCTGACAGACACCCTCTCATTGCTCAGGCAAACACCTGCAACCCTCTTCAACTCCTCTACCTAGCACCCACATCCAAGGCATCAGTGATTCCTACTGACTCCCCAAAACACTCAGTATCTGCCTCTCTTGCTGCCTCCCTGGGCCAAGATGGCATCTTTTATCCAGACTCTCAACTTTCGGGTCTCCCTGCTCCCACTGCTGTCCCCCTGTATAGCTGTCCCTTGGTATCCTCAGGGGATTGGTTCCAGGATCATCCCTCCCAGCCCATCAGATACCAAAACCCGAGGATGGTAAAGTCCCTTATGTAAACGGGGTATTTGCATGTAGGATGCAGCAGGGTACGCCTACACTTCCTTTGCGTGGATTCAGTGTAGTGTTCAGTGTGTGGCAAATTCAAATTTAGTTTTTTGGAACTTTCCTGAGATTTTTTTCCCTGAGTATTTTTCTGAGTATTTTGCAACTAAGGTTGGTTGAATCCATGGTTTTGGAGGGCTGACTGTATTCATTTCTCTGTTCAGTAGTCAATGATCCTTTAGAAATATCAAGTCACTCTTGTGTTTCAAACCTTCCCATGTTTCCCCTTTCCCTTCCCAAATCTCAGAAAAACCCCAGGTGCTGGCCTTACACGATTCGCCTCCACTTCCTTCCTCCACCTCTATCACTTCCCCATCACCCCACCTCCCTCCCGCTGTTGTCAGAGCCTCTGAGCATGCCTTTACTAGTCCCTCTGCCTGGTGTCCTTCCCCGGAGTGTCCTTCCAAAAGGCTTCCCTGACCTCCCTACCTAAGTCCCACACTGCCTGTCTCTTCCCTGCCGGATTTGTCGCCACAGGACTTATTACCATCTAGCATGCTCTATTTCCTCTGTCCTATCTCTCTCTTTTTAAAAATATGTCTTTACTGATTTCAGAGAGAGGAAGGG